AGCAATTCACAGAAACAACTGGACTCAGCGAAAGGTGGATTTGCAGTTATCGTTTTGTGTCAATATGTTGAATTTAGGTGTAAAACCACACCCATATATTTTGTATTGTTATATATAGATTAACAACTTATCAATTAAATATTTATCATTGCATATTCTCCATTGTTGGATGTTTTTTTAATAAACACTGACCAAAAAAAAAACTATACGTTTTAGGGCTGGATGATATATATAGGCTATATATAACACTGATAAAAGTGATCACCCGGATTTAGACCTACCTATATTATATTTATATAAAGCGTTCACAGGCAAATTTGCTTTATGTTTAGGTCTATATTGTTTTTATTTCCCCGGTGTCGAAATCAGGCAAACATAAATGTCAGGCAACACGATTCCTGGCTGCATGTCAATATCCATGAATCACTGGATCTTTAGTAAGTTGTAAGGAACACTATATTGACTCCAACATTTAGTTTAAATTGATAAAATTGCTCGTTTTAGTCGCATTTTCACAGTTTCCCCTATTAAATACAGTCACGCAGCAGATCTTTTGCCACTCAGTCACGCGAGGGGGGTTGTTCCACCGGGAAAGTGACGTCAATGCCTTCCCTCTATTGGGAATTTATTTTATTGCATTTTACCTATTTGCATCTGAAGAGTTCAGATGCAAAAGCCTCTAAATGCCATTTGAAATTTTCTTTTTTAATGATGATTTTTATCAAACTTGTATATTTAAGTTCAGTAATGTCACTTAAATAACAATTAATAGGTAATTATCATTGCAATTTAAGTGAAATCACTGAACTTAAATATACAAGCTTGATAAAAATGATCATTCTAGAAAAAAAATTTAAATGGCATTTAGAGGCTTTTGCATCTGAACTCTTCATCTGTAGATTTCAGAATACATATCATAAAGGCTGTTTTCTCAATTTTTATTTTTTTTTTCTCCAGCACTGAGCCAAAAATCTATATTTTTAAGGTTTTAATAGAGGGGTTTGTTCATATATCATTTGCCTGATTTTATACAGCTGTCTATTCCTAAAAACATGGTAAAAATTGAAGTATACTTAATAAACATATATTATGGACGTTTGTACCCCACTGAATATGAATAAAATCTATCAAAATGAAGATAATGTTTAGATTGTGATTTCCGGTGTGAACATCTGACAGTATCAGGCTTGTTTCCTCTCAAGCTTCCTTTTTCATCTTGCAAATTTCCTGTTTAGGTGCTGCAGAAACCTTCAGAGGCCTTGGAATGGCCTCTCTGGTCACATTGCTCATCTTCTCTCTGATACAGTGGCTGTTAGGTCAGAATGAGGATAAAAGTATGTTTCTTCCTGCTGTTTTACAATAGAAAGGTTGTTTCGCTGCTGTAAAACTTGATAACATCTTTGTGCTCTTTACAGAGTGCTCGATGTTGGCTGAGAACATCCCAGTTCCCTCCAGCCCAGTGCCTATCGCCACTATTGACTTGGTGCAGAACCATAATGCCGCTCAGCAAAATCCCGATTCAAAGACACCTCTTAGGAAAACCAGGCATCAGGAAGAGCTGGAAGATACTAACAAGCCGGCCTGGGTGGTGTCCGCCTCCCCCTGGGTCGCCATCGCTTTCGCTCTCTGTCAGATCAGAGATATGGCGGCTTTGACAAAGAATAACAACCTCGGTGAAAGTCAAGCCCCGCAGGTAGGATGGCACCCTTTGTGATTTGGGATGTGGACATGAGGAGGTGAAAGTTTCATTCTCGCTGTTTAATAACATTTCTTTCATGATCTTTTCCTGCTAATTTTCTTATTTATATCTGTATTCATTTGTCATCTTGTATTTTTGGAATGCAATTCTTGTGAAAACCAATGTTTCATACTAATGGCAAATTATATTTGATACCTTTTACTTAATTATTTCCTCTTTTTCTTTGCATTTATGCTGTCATTTTCTCAGGTGAAAGGTGAGAAAAAAACTTTGTCTTTGCACTTTGACTTTTTTACACACAAAAAACTGCATGCAGTTCTGTCAGTCTGCTACTGAATTTCCTCTTTTATTCTTTATGTATTGGATAATTTATGTGAGTCTTACTAACACCATTGTTGCCAGTAGCTTCTTAAAATAAATAAATGTTTTTCTGTTGTCAGTTTTGTTTGTCCATTCTTAAAATATGCTTCTTTGATTCAAATGCTTTTTGTCTAAATTTGTCAAGGCTTTATTTTAATGCCTATTTTTGAGTAAATCTTCAAGTCTGGAAATGCTGTTTATTTGTTACGTGGACATTTGTATGTTTTTGTCGCATTTGGCACAATATAGATAAAAAAGTGACTTATTTGTCATGTGGCTGTCGAAACAAAAGCTAAACTGGAAAGTACACAATGTTTATAAGCAGTGACTCATACCTATTTGAAGTCAAACAAATGCTTGGTCGGTGAATCTCACGAAACACGTCAATAATGTGTCTAGATCATATTTCACCCCAAAGTAATAAAAGGTTGTTTTTTTTTATTGCATCTTTACATTTTTACTTTAAAACTAGATTCTCTCTCTCTCTCTGATAACTTACTCACCCCAATTTCATCCAAGATGTCCATGTCATTCTTGCAAATTAAGTTTTTTTTATGTAAACATTCCAGGATTTTTCTCCATATAATGGACTTCAGTGGGAACCAACCGGTTCAAGGTCCAAAAAACAGTTTCGGTGCAAACTGTTCGAAGGGCTTTGAACGATTCCAGACAATCAATAAGAGTCTAATCAAGCAAAATGATCGCTCATTTAAAAAATTTTTTTTTTAAGTTTTATGAGCTCAAATGGTCGCCTTTCTCTGTTCTGTGATGAGCGTTCGTGACTCTCCTGTTCGAACTCGTTTATCAAAATGAACAAATCTTTTTCGTGTTATTTGGTTCATTCAACGAACGAAATGAACGAATCGACTTGGAAAAAGATTCGTTCATTTTGATAAACGAGTTCAAACAGGAGAGTCACGAACGCTTATCACAGAACAGAGAAAGGCGACCATTTGAGCTTATAAAACTTAAAATTTCATTTATTTTTTTTAAATGAGCGATCATTTCGCTTGATAAGACCCTTATTTATCGTCAGAAATCGTTTAAAGCCCTTTGAACAGTTTGCACTGAAACTGTCTTTTGGACCTTGAACCGTTTGGTTCCCATTGAAGTCCATTATATGGAGAAAAATCCTGGAATGTTTTCATCAAAAACCTTAATTTCTTTTCGACTGAAGAAAGAATGACATGGACATCTTGGATGACATGGGGGTGAGTAAATTATCAGCAAAAGTTTTTTTGAAAGTGAACTACTCCTTTAAAATGTGAAGTATTTATGCATCACAGCAGTAAGTGTATTGTCTTTATTTTTTATTTAAATAAAACCCGGTATTACAATATTTTTTATCATTGATTCATTAATTTAATTTTAACCCTATATATAGAATATTTTGAGTATTATTAAAAATAAAAAAGGTTAATTATTATGAAAATAATACCACAATGTAAAGCATCCAAAATGATTGATACTAAAATACATTTATGAATCCTTAAGCAATTTTGTTTTTTTATTAATTAACCCTAATTGTACCTCACCTCAGTCTATTATTTTGAAATGTTTAACCTTTCAATGCTGTTATTCATCTTATGATGTCCTCTTGTAGGAGACAAGTGAGCAGACCTCAGTGACGCCACCTGCTGATGAGTCATCGCAACCCAATACATCAAGTCCAGCAGAATATCCCTCCCAAGGACCTGCTCCCAGTGCATTTGTTCCTCAACACACACATCCTGTCCCTCCTGTGGAAGAACCGCGTCCATCCACAAGGAGAAAAGAACCAGTAGAAAACTCAACTCCTTTGCCAGGACACTCCAAACAGCTGCCCCCAAAAGCACAACCAAAATCAACAATGAACTGAAATTCTTTGGGATATAGCCTTGTGATTTAAAGACATACAGTGGTATGGGGTGTAAAAGGTGACAGTTGTCTTTTGACCAAAAGTTTTATGTTGACCGACGGGTATTCTAGATTATCAAGGGGTTTGTTTGCCAAGGCAGTGGAATCGATATGCTTTGCACTGCCAAAATTGATGTCTTGCCTTAACCGTAAAGGGCCTGCAAGTCTTTGTACAGAGTGCTTGAAGGTGAGTGTTTAATGGTTATAATCCAACAGCTGAGGTGCTTCAGCATAATATCCATGGTTCTTAATGTTGCAATAGTGAAGCATAGTTGCTTTGCACTCAATATAAATTATTATTTTGCTTTTCGTGCTTCCATATAACATGTGACCAAATTTAAAATAAAAATCTACTCTGTATATAATGATGAAACCACTCTTTTCTGTTATATATATACAGTAATCTTTAAAACCAAATGCAAAGTTATATGTACCATCTGAAGGTATTGATTTGCCACAGTGTCTTAAACCATCTGCCTCACAAATTTGTGTATATGTGACCTCTACTACACTGTAAAAATGAATATGCTTTATCTAATCAATATAATTGTGGCAACAGATTACAAGCAATATTATTAATTAAATTTAACAAATTAGAATTGAGTAATAATTAATTTAAATTATTTCTTAAAAATTAACCATTTAAAGAGTAAAGTTTACACCAAAATATTTAACAAAAATATCTCACTAACAGACAGACGTCAAAGATTAATTAAGAACTCTTTATTTTATTTTTCCAACATTGTGAGTCACTGAAAGAGAAAACCGGAATTTTAAAACAAACACCGATCACCATAATGATGACTTAAATTTATGTTGTTGTTTTTTTGGTTGTTGTAAGTTTTACTCATTTTAAATGGTTAGCTTTTAAGGAATTAATTTGATTAATTATTACTCAATTCTAATTTGTTACATTTAATTAATAATATTGCTTGTAATCTGTTGCCACAATTTTTTTTTTAATTTGGATAAAGCATATTCATTTTTACAGTGTATGAATAATACATGAAATGTTTACATATGTAGACACAATACAATATTCTGGTTGAGAATTTAGCCATGTGTCATTTTTAATTAAATAGAATGGTAACAATTATAAGTGAAATGTTTATAAAAACATACATTCTCTCTTCAGATAAAAGTTCCATAAAAAGAAAAAAATTTGAAATGGCAGGACATACATATTTACACCTGTATGGATGGATGCAGACCATCTACTTTGAGTTGATTCATTAGAAGGATGGGTCACCCAAAAATGAAAATTCTACAAAGCCTCTAAATGTGATATATATATATATATCATGTTTTTGCAACCAGGGAAACATTGCATTCACTTGTAATACCAATTCATTAGCCCAGCAAAAAAAACAAACCTTTTGCAAGGGACCTTAGGAGAACTCAAAATGAATTTTGAGCAAAAGCCGAAACACCGAAACTTAATATCTCTATTAATTTGTGAGATTTTTTTGGGAAAAAAAGGTAAAAATACCAAAAAGGACCATAAAATTATTCAACATAATAAACTATCCTTCTGAAGGCATAATTTTGTATTTAAACCCTGTTGGTCTAGCACATTTACATAGAAACCCAGCGATAAAAAAAAACAAAAACTGTATGAATGACGCGAGACGCATGGCAGTGGAGTTATCACATCACTTTTGTCAAGACTATTAAAAGACACAAAGGCAACTTTAGGTAAAACACATTTCTCTTGTCTACACCCTGTTTACGCACAAAAAACAATGAAAAATCGTTGAAAAAAGTCCTGAGTGAATGGCTCCATAATGGCCACACAGAACACATTTATGCGTTAACAAATGTGAATAGTGGAAAGAAGAAAAAAACGCAAAGTTCCGAGACACTTGTTGTTATTCAATTATAATCCGTTCTGGCTGCTATAGTGTAGTATGACTATGATATTCTATCATATTGATACACAACAAATGTAGACGCTTTGGTGTTGGATTAGGAGCTTTTGTAAAGCAGAAATCCCTATTTAATTTAACTACACGATCAAGAGCAACTTGGAGATTCAGCTAAACATCCTCTTTTTTTCCACAAAGGAATTAGCATATTTAGGTGAACTGTTTCTTTAACTAACACTAGAGGGCACTATTTCCTTAAAATTACACATGCTGCCGTTATACTGTATGTGTGGAGTCATTCTCTTGATCAGTCGACTGCTATGATGTCCTGATGATTTCCACCATCTATTAACATACAGTTTGTACAATACAGTGTTATTCCCAGCTCTGCATCACTTGGGTATGAGAATACACACTGCTTAAAAAATATAGTAACAGCCCACGCTGCCTAAAAGAGATCATTTAAACAAACAAACGAGAGAGAGCGACTATTTTAAAATCTCCATGGACTTACTAATGTTCCTTAAGAGTCATTCCTTCCAAACAATATTGTGCAATTCAAAATGTCTTTTTAAAATGAACATAAAAATCACTCTTCATACGGATTGCAGCCCAATTTCAAAAGAAATCCTGGTCTTCTGGATCCATGGGTTCTGGCTGAGGGGTGTAGGTGGCAGGGGGATATGGGCAGACGGCTGGGGCGTATACAGCAGGACTGGGGATATTATTTAGGGTTGCAGGACCGTTTCTCACCGGCTCGTCCTCGCTACTGTCCTCTGCGCCTTCCCTCTGCGACTGGGTGTCGCTGGAGCTGCTGTTAAAGAGCACGTTCTCGTAGTACGCCCCACCAAGCCCGTACTGATTCTCATGACTCTGAAGCTCCTCTTGAATGATGTGGCTCCCATTGCGCAGAAACTCGGCAAACCTGAAAGAGACGAGAACAACCGGTTAGGACTAAAGGGCCAAATAGCATTTTTCTCCTTCACTCAAATAACCACACTTAAAAAAATGACACAATTTTTCAGTAAACATGAATTAAACCGAGTAAGGAACTTTGTACTGTGAATGTCAAAAATCCTGTTCACCATTGCGGTATATGTCCCTTTCAAACATGCTCATTTTGATGATTACAGATGTTTAATTACTTCTGCGGTGATCTGAGCCTCAACACAGTGTCCCATGCAGGAAAGCCAGGCTTGTTACAGTGCTCTCGTAGTTCATCCAGGGAGGCTCTGGTGTAAGTCTCTCCCTGCTCTCTGTACTCCTCCTCCGTCAGTAGCCTGATAGTGGACCGTTTCTTCCTCCGGAACAAACTTATGAATGAGCAGAAGAGCCTGAAGGCAGAAGTTCATAAATATGAATATTTAGGATTTCATACTTCACCTGTTTAAAATTAAATTTCATCATATGATTAGCTTTCACCTTCTATTTTAGACTTAATGACCTCCAAATTACCATACACTATTGTGCACAAAAATAGATTTCAAATACATATTAAATATACAAAGGTGGTAAATAATATACCCAGTATTAAAGAGTCAACAGCTGATGAACAAAAAGTGATGTGAGTTTCTGTAAAGAAACTTTACAGAAAGTGAGTTTCTGTAAAGTAGCTTTGCATTTAAATCTTTGCTATTTGGCTGGGGACTATAGACACTCTTCAGATTACAGTCCAATTCTCACTATTACACTTTAAAAAAAAAAACTTCTGCTGATAATTGATGTCATCCAAGATAGCCATGTTATTCTTTCTTCAGTCGAAAAGAAATTAAGGTTTTTGATGAAAACATTCCAGGAATTTTCTCCATATAATGGACTTCGATGGGAACCAAATGGTTCAAGGTCCAAAAGACAGTTTCAGAGCAAACTGGCTTTAAACGATTCCAGGCGATGAATAAGAGTCTTATCAAGCGAAACGATCGCTCATTAAAAAAAATAAAATAACAAAGTTTAAGTTTTATAAGCTCAAATGCTCGCCTTGCTCTGTTCTGTGGTGCACGTTCGTGACTCTCCTGTTTGAAGTCGTTTATCAAAATGAACGAATCTGTTTTCGTGTCATTTGGTTGATTCAACGAATGAAATGAACAAATTGACTCGAAAAAAGATCAGTTCATTTTGATGGACGAGTTCGAACAGGAGAGTCGCGAACGCGCATCACAGAACAGAGCAAGGCGAGCATTTGAGCTTATAAACTTAAACTTTGTTATTTATTTTTTAAATGAGCGATCGTTTCACTTGATACGACCCTTATACGTCGTCTGGAATCGTTTAAAGCCCTTTGAACAGTTTGCAGTTTGCACTGAAACTCTCATTTGGACCTTGAACCGTTTGGTTCCCAGTGAAGTCCATTATATGGAGAACAATCCTGGAATGTTTTCATCAGAAACCTTAATTTCTTTTCGACTGAAGAAAGAAAGACGTGGACATCTTGGATGACATGGGGGTGAGTAAATTATCATTATCATTATTTTTTAAAGTGAACTACTCCTTTAACTATGACTTTTGCTTCAATAAACTTATAATCACTGTTGATTTATAGTTAGTATGGGATTAAGGCATGTAGAATACGGTCATGCAGAATAAGGCATTTATATGTACTTTATAAGTACTAATAGCCAATATCCTAGTAATATGCATGCTAATAAGGAACTAGTTATGGTAATAGTGAGAATTGGACTAAACTAAAGTGTTGTTGGAATAAAAAAAAATATAAACATATATATATTTATATCTCACTGAATATCCTGTTTCACTTAGAAATTGAGTACAGTTTGTGGTGGTTTCCTTACTTGCAAATCCACACTAGAAGGCTCCAGACCAAGGGCAGAATCTTCAAGCACAACAGGACAGCAATCAGTACGTAGTAGGCAGGGGGGAATGTGATCCCATAGTAAAGCAACACCATGGCTACTACTTGCATACAGTAGGTCATAAAGTTGAGGGTGTGTTTGTTGGTGATGGGGCCATGCTTATAGCATACAGCAAAGCTAAATAAGCCTGATATGAGCACATATACTGCAGACAAAGAGAAAAAAAAAGAAAATAATAATAAATTCATTTTTAAATGTCTAGCTTGGCATTAATTGACCTTCTTGCGTATGTGCATATACATGCTACATAAAGGAGTGGGGTGTTTTACGCATGTAAGGTAACATAAAAAAAAGCATACCCAATCTGAAGCGTACAGAAGCAGCCTGTCTGAGCTTGCCTCATTCATAAACAGCCCATTAAGCAACAGTAATACTACGTACAAAGCACACTTAATTACAACAGTCACAATAGATCTATACAAGTTGAAACAACTCAATGTCACATCTTTTGACGTTCATTCACTTTTGGGTAAACTACTCCTTTAAGACAAGCCTTCACTTGCATCAATAACAGTGGATGTCGTGGTGTATCTGCCGAGCCTTCACTCACTGAATGCAAACATTACGGGCTAATGCTGCAACAAATTGCTGAATAATCCAGCATACAAACAAAAGAACAATGGTGAAATGTAATGTAACAATACTGGTTATATTAATTTACTAAGTTACTTTTTACTCAGCCTAAAGTGATTCCCAACCTACACTACCATTGGGGTCGGTAAATTTTGTAATGTTCTTTGAAAGAAGGCTTGTATGCCCACCAAATTTTTTTGATAAAAAAAAAATAAAGTACATTTTTGGGGTGAAAACTGTGATATATGATTTCAGAATTCTATGATAAATAGTTTTAAAAAAAAAAAAAAAAAACATTATACATTTCTTTACTGTCACTTTTGATGCATACCTGCTGAATAAAAGTATAATTTCTTAAAAAAACAAAAATCGTGCATGGTAGGGTAGTGACTTTTTTGATGTAGTCGACATTTTTATTATTAAAAACAAAAGGTTTTTTTTTTAAATCCTGTCCATATTTTCTAGATAATGAAAGTGGATGATATGGACTAGATCTGTTAAGCTCCCACAAAAAATAGTAAGAAAAATAGAAAGAAAAAAAAATAGTCCATATGATTATGATTTTTTCATTCAAAGCCTTCTCAAACTATAAGAAAGCTTTATGTGAAGTTCAAGACATTATATGGAAACAATCACTTCAACTAAAACTCTAAAATAAAAAAATGAATCAATTAAACCCCAAAATTATAGGGTTTGGGGAAAATGTTGACAAATTGTGTCAATGCGCCAATTTTGTAGTCATTTATCAATAAAATAACAAACAAGTGTTTGCATGGTCATTTTGACAATTCGTACGATTTTTCTGGAGCTTGACAAACCCAGTTCCCATTCACTTTCATAGTATGGAATCATAAAAAAAAAGAAAGACGATAAGAAAGTCATGGCTTTGGAACAACATGATGAGTAAAATTACAAAATGCAAATATTTGAGTGAACTACGCTTTTCATGTTATCAGTGAATAGAGAAAATAAAAGGGCCAGAAAACAGACACACACTTGGGCTGTAATCCTCCCAGAGCCTTTTTGTTTCAGGCATAGAAATCAATGTTCCAGCAGCACGGCAGCTTCTTTCCCTTAATCTTAATATGCCTGTAGTTCTCGCATTCAAAAACACTGATGCATTTACATACTGCGAGTGCTTGAAGAGGGAAATTGATTTGGCGGAGAATAGAATCTATTGAGCAGTCAAGAGGCAGTCATTTCAGCATTCAAAATACTTGGCCCTCAAATTACAACACTAACGGAGCCAAGATATACGATACAAAAGGTGAATCTCGATCTGCTCTAGACTGTTACTATGTGATTCAGGCATGTGTGCTTCAGCTGATGAAATATGCAGCGAGAGTGTGTAGAAGGATAATCTGCCTAAATGACATGTACAGTAATTATCCTATTGTATAAAGAACACGGCAAGAAAATTAAGAGACAACACGAGGCACTCGACTGACGCGCAAAACTGCACAAAAGGTACATTTGAAAGACCATTTATTAACATTAGCGAGGGCTTACTGTCTGATCTAATTGGTTGATGAGATGATTGCAAAGGAAAACAGGGCAAGATGGCTTGTAACAGAGAAAGGTTGCCTAGTTACCCAGTAATTCTATCCAGTGCTCAGTCACAATGTCATCCCATTCGTTTAACACCCTCTGGATCCCGATGTAGGACAGACTGGAGCCAGCACCCAACAATACCAGGAACAGCCCTCGCTGGGGGGGGGAGAGCAGAGCATTAGTGAATGTGAACCTGCAAGCTGTCAATCAATCTGTAATTGATTGCACAACCCTGATTCATACATAAAACCTTATGTACATGCCTACGGCTGTATGTGTTGAGGAGTGAGTCTCCTCCACCTCCCTTTATCTTTAAACTCATCAGCAGAGACGATACCAGCATTGACAGGCTTAAAGTCGGCATGAAATCAAATCTGACAAACCTTCTTTTTATATGTAATATTATAGTGTTTATTATAAATGATTTATCTGTGCACGTCATTATTTTTTTTAAATTCATGTACCCTATAATCTTTACTCAAATACATGACCCTTCGCTCCCGACCTCTCTTGTCTTTCGGTCACGTGCAATGCCGAAAGGGTGCGGCCAGAGCTGATGAGGGTGTGGCTGTAATCTGTAAAACCGCCTCTCAGACTGCCAGTGTGGAGTCTCACTGAAGAGATGGGTCCCAGATTAGGACCCAAGCAATCCGATTGGTTCAAAGCAGAGCCCGTCTAACGGACAGCCTTGGCACTTCCTATTAGCCCCGTTGTGTATAATCCTGGTTGCAGTTCCATTAGAATTCCACTGGAGGTGATCACGAGCGAGTCCATAATGAATGGGAGTCTATGGGGCTAAACGGCTAAATGTGTCTTTTTCACCTGCTTGTCGTTAAATCAACATAGATTTTATTGTTGATTCCGCAAGTTCAATATAGATTATAGGCTAAAAGTCGAATGAACGAGTACTTATGTCCTTTTGATTTCTTACAGGTTAGGCCGTTGTTGGCCGGAACACGCTAGCATTCAGCTATTGTGTGACGTCATCACAGTTTTGAACGGATTTTTAGAACAACTTAAAAATGCCATTTTCAGCTGAGTGTATTATGTTAGCCCTCCCCTTTGAATGCAACTTTCAAATTACTTGACAAAAAATTACAACCTGAGAAAAGTGGATTTCTGGGTATGAAACCCCATTGACTCCCATTCATTCTGCACTCCACCGCGAGCGCCCCCGCATGGACAGAGATGCGTTACTGCAGCCAGTCCAGAACCCGGAAGTAACCAGCCAGTGCCAATTATCTTCAATTAGACATTCTCTGTTCAAAGCTAGTTTGATGGGTAATCGCTTTAGTGCCTGGTTACAGAAGACGTTCGAACTACGTTATAACGAGGCATTAATGTCTTTTAACTTATATGTTTAAAGCTCTCGACTGAAAAACTCTTCGTGACACAATAAAAGTAGTATTTTTAAATTTTGCGGCCTTTTCTTCCTACGAAAATCACTATACAAATAAATGTACTCCTTGATGGCAACAAGCTGCTTTTATCTTTTATTTTTTATCTTATCTTGCACATAGCTGTGGGATTTAGCATTCAAGCTACACATAACGCCAAAACAGCTCACGTTAGCTAACGTTACAAGTTATCGCATTCGCAAGAATAGATTTAGATCAGGCATACTACTGGCATACTAACCGTACGTTCACACTGCCGCCGACGAGAGGGGCAAAATTCGCTCTCGCCGGCGCCGCCCTGCCAGTGACACCGTGGAAATATTTGTAGACGATCTGATGCTCTGACGTAGATCGAACGCGTGATCTTTTTTAAAACTGTATTTAAAGGGGCCGCAAAGCAAACAAGCATGTCAATTGTTATTTCTGCAGAAAACTGATCGATGGAAAGAACTTAAAAATTATAGTGACATGTTTGCTAATGAAATAAACAAATTAAAAGCCATTTGTGTGGTGTGGATTTTGTGTTCATGGTTAAGTGCCATTATAATTTGCATTCCCGCTGAAAAAGTGTTCTAGCACGAAAATCTTGCCTATAAATAGTGTTGCGCGCCCACTTATCAAATTAAAAATGATCTATTTTGCTTGGGAACTAATGTGGTCGGAACTAAAGTTTACAGGACTGCGTTCTCTGAAACTCTCTCAAACGGAGGACTTCCACGTTCCGGTTGGTTGCCGCCAAACCACGTCATTGCTTATTACCATAAAGTTGAACTGATTTCAACTCTCCTCGCCACTCTCGCCATGCCACCCTCAGTAATGGGGCGAACGCACAGTAATGGGGTCTCTCCCATTTATGTTACGGTCCCACAAAATATGGGTCTAGGATTCAGGGACCACAACATAAAAGATCGACAAAGAAAGACATAATCCAAAATTATGTATTTATTATAACTCAAACAACTCCCAAATTAACCATATCATAAGAGACGGGGAGCTCAGCAACAAGGGAAGAGGATTGGAAATACAACCCACAGCTGAGACTCCCCGCTCTGAACTCAAATTCAAATCTATAAACAATAAAGAATCAGTGGTGAGCGGCAGTGGGGAATTTAGCTATTTGCACACCGATTTCTAGATTCTACTTTTGCTGCTAGTTTTGTGTAATTTATTAAGCATTTTTGGAGAAATATTTATTTTTATGAGCCTCAAAGTGATTCTTTGAAAGTTTCAAGAAACTTGACCAAAAGACAATATCTAAACACTGGCACTTGAATGTTGAATGTCACCTGTTTGCGTGAAACATTTCTATATTTTGGGGTAGCGTGAGCTTTTTAATGTTTCAGAGATAATGTACTCGGTCAGATTCCACAGCTATTAAAGGCCTAACACGGCAACAGGTTGCTATGGAATTACCAATTGGCTTTCAAAATTGGAAACAGTGAAAACGGGGTCTCTCATCTCTTCAGTGGGACTCATCTCTTCACCACACCGGCATTCAAATCTTCCTCCATTTTGTTTGCAACGCCAACCTCCAATGATCCAATCAATTCCCAAAGGATGAAATCAAGCAATTGCCATTAATCAAATCAATTTCAGAAGCCGTTTCACTCGGATATACGTCACAACAAGGAAAAAAATGACAATCTCAACTTTCATTTCATGCCGACTTTAAACTCATACTACTCATCAAACATGTTTGATTGGTGAGGATACATGTGATTGGTGAGTGTATTATGATGATCATGCATAGCATTGCACACCTTTGGTATGACGTTTCGGAGGAGAAGTGTCAGGAGGACAAATATGGCGATGACTCCCAATGAAACTCCAGCTGTGTAGAAAAACAGTGAGCTCCTGGAAACCATGAAGATTGCGACAGATTAATACATTTCAACCACAAACGAAAATTCTGTCATTATTTATTCTCCCTTATGTCGATAAGGTCGCGACGCAGCAGTCCCGTATCTCTCATGAAGGAGCGGAAGCATAAAAGACATTCTACTATAGAATTTCTTTAGATGGGAACATCTAAACTAGACCTAAATTGCCACTTACCTGCATATGTTTCCCGCTCTATAAAACAGTGCCAACCCACACACAAAAAGCAGAAGGCACATTCCATTTAACCCTGTAATATAAAATAAACAATCATGATCCAGTGCCCAAGTACACAGTATGAGAATAAAGAGTGTGATGCTCACGTTTTTTGGAGACATGCAGTGTGTACACAGTATTGCTTCTAGCCGATTTGGTCATGAAGCAGACATCTTCATCAACCAGAGGAATGTCCAAAGACTTCTCTCTTTGGATAGTGGATGGCCAATAGTGTTCAACAAAGCACTTAGTAACAGTGAGAGCATCATCCGGATGGTTGCAATTTTGTGTCTCCATCGGGAACACAATAAAGACGTCCTCTTCACTTGTCACATTTACCTTTGAACAACATGTGCCTTGTCAGTATTCAATTTAAAGTGGGAGCTAACCCCAAAAAAAATAAGCACAGCCACAGTAGGATGTGATAAATTACCTTGAAGGTGGAACAGATGTCCTTCCATTTGATTACTGTACCAGAGCTGTAACAGAAGCATCGACTCCCAGAATACTCGTGGGCACTGTCTCCTTTCACATAGGTGCAATCTGTCAGAATCAGGAAAGGATCAGAATTACTCCTCTGCTTTAATTTAACAATCCCCGCCAACTATTTTCTTCTTCTTTATGTCTAAACCAATACAAAAGCGTCCCAGAAAAGAACACGGACTACATGCTTCTGCCCACAGACTAAATTCATCCTAATCACTGCACTAATGCAATTGCAAAATCCTCACGTAACAAAAACCTGACATGTTCATGTGTGGTTACTTCTATCCAGTAGTAATTACTCGATTTATAAATGGACATCATCAAAATAAAGCACTTACCAAAATAGATTAAATATATTGTTTACTTGCACATCATGTGACTATTAACCAACATCAGAGAACCATGAACATACAAATGTTTTGCTAAATTGTTGAAAAATTAATTTTAAAATACATTTTCTTAGGTCAAAGGGGTTCAAATCCCTGAACTAGGAAAAAATCACCATATTTTATATTGCAATGTTAAAAAAAGACACGTTTGTTACTGTTATTTTACTTTATATTAATAGTTTTTCAAAGATTAAGTTCTTGAGCTATAAGGTCATGTGTTGCTACTGTCTGGCAGTCAAATGTAAAAGTCACGTCAAAACTCATATTTGGAAAATCTGCAAAAGCACTATTTTATAGAATCTGGTGATGAAAAGATTACAATTAGATTAACAAATCATATTCAAACAGTTTTTTACTTGGTTTTAACAAGCAATATTGTGTATTTGATCATGTGGATTTCATGGGTATATAAATAGCACATGACACTAAGTGAGGGCAAAAGAATTACTCCAAATAAACCCTAATATAAAAATATAAATTGAAATTATTGTGCTAAGACATTTAATTCATAAATTTTCCCCACATTGTTTTTTTCCGTGGAGACAAACTGGGCACAGTGAGGGAAAATAATAGACGCTATTGAGAATGAGGAGTCACGTGCCTATTTGGGCGGGTTCTGAGCCGGTCGGCCATGATGGTGGTAGGACATGCTATCGGTTACCAGGGTTTTTATCGGTTTTTAACGCAGCAGTTACTTCCAGGCATGGTAAAACAGTGCGGTATTGTGAGAAACTCCTCTACTACTGAGATAAAAACACACGTAATCAATACTGTTTTGTCGTGGGAATCCTACCAACATGGCGGAAAGGGGAGGGGCACTGTAAAATGACGTCAACTCCTCATTCTCAATAGGAAGCTGTTGGGACTACAGGGTCTGAAAATATAGCCTCACAAGCTTGCTGCATAACAAAAAACCTGAAACAGAGAGTGAATGAATGGTTCCTGATCATAAGCCAGTGAAAAATAAGTATCAGAGATTTCAGACCTTATAGTCAGCATGAAATGTGTGACTGTCTTCTTCACTATTGTGATGTACATCCAAGTGAAATGGCTTCTCAAACAACAAGAAAAAATGTAGGACGGGACTTGGAGCGATAGAGTTATGGGTAGGGTTAGGGTGTGGGTGTGTATTCTAGCTCCACACATTAGGCCCAAATTACATTCGCTCCTCCTCCCTGGACGTCTAGGTAGGAGGAGCTAGACGTACTGTAAGCTTCACCCATTTGCTCTGCAGTGAGCAGCTTCTCGGTTTTTGCCTTGTCCAAATACCCACACTTGCGATCTTTGCACTTGATCACTTGTCTACTTGCATGACATGTTTCCTCTATTAGGCCCAAGTGTTCAAGTAGGCATAAAGACTGCAAGTGTGTGTAAAACTTTTGATTACTCGATACGATAGGACACACTAATAGTCTTGCAAAAAATGCAAGTGTTTACAGAGCTTTTATTTATTATATTTTAAATACTTTGCATTTTAAAATAAACTTCTAGATGTCTGTTCAGTAGTCGCTATGTAACTAACAAAAAAAACAAATTTAAAATTGTGGTACTTCTAATTAAGTAAAAAAAACTGTATACATAAAATACTTAATATGCACCAATAAAATGTGCAATACTTTATGGTTTTACAAGCAAATTGTATGTATGTAATTAATTTAAATTACAATCCAGTGAAATGTTTTTTACTTGACATCTCGCGATTTCAGAGCACATGAGTTCCAGAACTTAATGCATGATAGGATACGCTTAGGCTAGTCTTGAACAGACTTGGTTTAGTGTGCATTAAGGGCACTGCAATTTGGCATTTTTAAGACACGCAACAATCTTGCGCACTTACTTCCTACCGCACACACTCTCAAGTGACCAAGACCACAAGTGTGTGTATTTGGACAAGGCACCAGTCCATCTAGAATTGGCTTTATGCACAGCTGCAATACTTCCTGAACTTCAGCCAGGTACTAGTTTCCTGTCTGCCATTATTAGACAAACTTGATTAATTCAGGTGTGCCTGATTATTGTTGTTGTGACAACTGAGGTCAGACACACATGGATTAATCGGTTTGTCCAATAATGGCAGACAGGAAACAAGGAGCTGGCTGAAGTTCAGGAAGTAGTGGAGCTGTGCATAAAGCCAACTGATTATATATTTGTGGTTTATTGCTGCAATCTCATGTGAGTGACAGGTTGTCCTGCCCTCGCGCCAGTAAACACGTCATCAGAGAGGATTTGTGGTTGGAAGTGGAAGTTATTTTGATTAAATATTACAAGGGCACATACATTTAAAAAATAAAAAAGATTTGTATGGTTAAATCATTTATAACAAATACTGTAATATTCCATTAAAAACAAGAATTGTCTATTTAGATTTCATGGTGACTTAAAAGGCAAGATAAGAAAAGGTAAGAAGGACCGAGGTAAGATTAACATTACAGATGCATGCCATGCAGACAAACCAGTTAATAATAAACAAACAATTTGATTATATTTAATGGATCTTACATAGTAAAAACTTTAAACAACAGAACTCACCATTTTAACCGTATCATTTGTGTCCAGCTCACAATATAAAGAGTGGTTTAACTGTATTCCGGGCTTTTATCACATTCAAAATCCAATAGGTACAATCACAATGTAATTGCGTTAGTTTTGTAATGTTAGTGCTGTAAGTTTGTGCCGCTGTTTGTTTAGCAAAAGTTTTGTTTACCTGCATATGAATATCCTCTTCCCACTGAGTTTCCCACTGCACTTTGCCCGTAAGCACACAATAGAGTTAAAACGGATATAAAAGCAGCTAACTTCCCCATGTTTTGTGGAGACTCAATGGATGGATTTGAAGGACACAGCAGGTTAATAATTTAATCCGCTAAGCTAACATGAGCTAAGCTAATGTTTTTGGTTTCAAATTCGGTGGGATTCGTGTAACCCAGACAAGACTAACCAATTCAGAGTGGATGATGGGTCCCGATATTTTAATTACTCATTCATCAAATATAGAGGCTTTCATTTTTATGTATAAAACAAACAAGTCGTTGAATACACAAAAAAGCACATTTCATATTCTTAATGGATTCTTTTCTAAAGTCCATTTGGGAGTTTAGTGTTCGATTAGTCAGGCCTTACTCCGCAGTGAAAGGTTTGAAACTAAACACCAGTGACACATTTGTACTATTTTATTGTATGAAACTATTTTATAGTTTGATATTTTGAATATATAGGTATAGTTATATATTATATTATATAATATATAAAACTTTATTTCAATTTACAAATGTTTAAAGGAAAATTATGCATTATGTAATGCAACAATTGTTTAGTATGTTTTCGCATTGCTGTCACATGACCTCCTCACGTTGCATGTTGAATTCAGCAAGTTCTGTTATCATTTAAGAAATTATCACATTTTAAATGTAGCCAATTTATATTTAACTTGTTTAAAAATGCTAAGATACACTTATTCATCACTGGAACTGGAAGAAGGTTACACATTGCATTGTAGGATACAGTACTGACTGCAATTTGTTCTGTTATCATGGATAGAACCTTAAAAAGTAAATCAAGTGTATATAGTGAATATAGCCTACATGTTTCCCGGGTCTAATGCATGTTATTGTCTGTCTGAAATGATCTTTAAAATCTTTCTTTAAAAATAACAATTTAAAGTTATCACAACTAGAAAAATTGGTGGAAATGTTATTACCGTCACAATCGAGCTAAATAGATAACGTGAAAATCCATTGTCTATCAGCAATGCAAAGCATGCATTTTTAAAATGTCTAGTCCTAGTTTTGTTGCAAATACAAAGATAAGCAGTGGGAAGAAAAACGTTAAACCAAAATCTAGAGGAGACCAGATGAAAATGTCATCTCTGTGCAGTCTTCGCCCTTTGAAATGGAAGGGGGATTTTTGTGGTGGGCGTAGACACAGCAGGCGGCTGCTCTCTCATTTCTCTAGGATGCAGAGACAACAGCGGCTTTTCCTGACAGGCACTCCCACGCCAGGCTCAGACCCTGTCACTTACGCTTGCATGGAGTCAGCAAGCATCTGACTAATGCAGATGCTGTCATTTTGGTTTCTAGGAAGGATCCTAACCTCATTCCCCATGAAAGAGTGCATTTCTTTTCACCATCAACCTTTAGTTTTGCTGCATTTTTGCTCCTTGCACTCAACAAGTGCCAATGAGGTTTATCTTCAGTTGCTGTAGCAGACAGTTATGTCCCACAGGGGAAAGTATAAAGAAAAAAAAGTTGGGTAGAGGAAGGCTTTGTGGTTAAGGTACAGAAAGTCCCGTTTTTGCAGAGTAAAGGGCCTTAAAAGGACTCATCTGGTTTCATGACCATTGCATGACACTGGTTCAGATCAGAATAAAAGAAAATTGTTAATAATATGTAATAATACTTTACATTGATGAAGATGAGAATTCTGTCATTATTTACTCATTCTTGTGTTGTTTCAAAGCGTACATCGTTATATGATCCATGGTGCATGAAAGGAGATTATTTGAAGAATGTTCATGCAACTCTGCAATGAGAGTTCAAAGTGGCCTTGACTGTAATCCAAAAATATTTAAGAATTGACATGTAGTCTTTACCTTTGCTCATATTGTGGTCTTTTCCTCATATTTTTTACAAAATAACTGGATTTGTGATCATTGCATGACACAGGTTCAGAATATTAAAGATAGCCTATAGTTAATTCTGTCATCATTTACTCGCTCTCAAGTTGTTCCAAACCTGTATGTATTTATTCTGCTGAACAAAAAAGATAATATTTTGAAGAATATGCAACCAAAGAGTTGATAGGCCCCATTGACTGCCATAGTATGGAAGTCAATGGAGCCCATTAACTATTTAGTTACATTCTTCAAAATATTATCCACATGCAAATTTGGTAATACTGGTAATACATTGCACAGTCTATGTTACACATATTACATTAAGCTAGGTAGCTGTGTGTAACTGTAAATTATTTTTTTAGCATGATCTGAGCTAAAGAAGCTACATTTATGATGCCATTGTTGCATTTTTTGTTTGTTTAATTGAAATGTTTTTGAAGCTTATTTATTGTAAACTTGATTAACATAATTCAAATCAGCAAAAAAAAAAAGTTCTAAGAACTTACCCATTAACCCATTAAGTTGTGAAAGTGTTATTTCTGAATGTTCTCTAAATGTTCAAAACATATATATATATATATATTTTTTAATGTTTTAAACATGTTTTCTTGGTTATATGAATGTTAAAGGAGTAGTTCACTTAAAAAAAAATAATCTTTTGCTAATAATTTACTCACCCCCATGTCATCCAAGATGTCCACGTCTTTCTTTCTTCATTCGAAAAGAAATTAAGGTTTTTGATGAAAATATTCCAGGATTTTTTCGATATAATGAACTTCATTGGGAACCAAACGGTTCAAGGTCCAAAAGACAGTTTCAGAACAAACTGCAAACTGTTCAAAGGGCTTTAAACGACACCAGACGATGAATAAGGGTCTTATCTATAGGACCCTTCGAGTCATGACTCGAAAAAAGATTTGTTCATTTTAATGAACGAGTTTGAACAGGAGAGTCACGAACGCGCATCACAGAACAGAGCATTTGTGCTTATAAAACTTAAACTTTTTAATTTATTTTTTAAATGAGCGATCGTTTCGCTAGATAAGACCCTTATTCATCTTCTGTCGTTTAAAGCCCTTTGAAGCTGCACTGAAACTCATTTGGTTCCCAATGAAGTCCATTATATGGAGAAAATCCTGGAATGTTTTCATCAAAAACCTCAAGGCAACATTCCATTTTATCATTTTTCAAACATTATATGAATATTGCTTTCGAATGTTCTCTGGACATTCTGCAACAAGTAACATTTCAAAAATGTTATGGCGCTTTTCCACTGCATAGTACGGTACGGTTCGGCTCAGTACGGTTCGATTCGGCGCGGAACAGTTCGGATCGCTTTTCGTTTCCACTGCAGTAGTACCCCGTGTGGGTAACACAGTCTCATCCCAAAAGGTCATATAACTGACGTCTTGGGACGTTTTTTGACCATACGTCAATATCCGCCTTTTTAGGGCCCCCTTAAACGTCGGTAGATGGCGATCCCGGGCCGTCATACAACTGACGCTTTACCTTTAACGTCAGTTAGGTGACGGGTTAGGTTTAGGGTTAAGTTTAGGTCTGGGGTAGAGGGATCCCATAACCTCATCTACCGACGTTTAAGGGGGCCCTAAAAAGGCGAATATTGACGTATGGTCAAAAGACGTCCCAAAACGTCAGTTATATGACGTCTTGGGATGAGACCGGGTTGGTGTGGGACTGATCGTTATTTGTGCGCGCCTCTACTGCCATGACATCATCTTAAAAGCGCCACATTTTCAAACCCACAACACAGGAACAATGGAGACTATCGAGGGGATGGTGTTCCTGATTCTCGGTATGTGGTTGTTTTTAACTGCTAGACGGAAAAATGTGTTTAAAATGAGGCTGATGGCAGCAAAACAAAAATACTGCTAAAAAAGTGTCTCGTGTCGCAAATCCAATGACGCTAGTAGTGACGCAGGGAATGACGATTCTGTCTGACCAATCAGTGATCTGCAGTGTTTCACGTCACATTTTAGTACCGGTACGGTACGCTTGGAACCTCAACAGACCAGGAACCATTTAAAGCGACCTGAAGCGAACCGTACTGTACCGTACCATGCAGTGGAAAAGCACCACAAGCGAGCCGTACCGAACCGAACCGTACCGTACTATGCAGTGGAAAAGCGCCTTTAGATGAACATCCAACTAAAATGTTTAAAAAAAAAGTTCAGTAAATGAACAGAAAACAGACTTTTGTATCAATCATTTCAATCAATTTCCTGTTTATTTTTCTTAATTCTCCTTTTCACTGAATGAGACACGAGTTTCAAAATGAGACACAAGTTTCATGAAAACAACTGCGGTCTATACTTCAAAAAGAGGTTTTGGCAAAGAGCTGATTCCATGGACAAACGGAGACGGACTTCTGAGCTTTTGATTAGTGGGCTAAAATCTGACACCCACAGAGCTGGGCCTTATGTTGGTGCACTTAAGCCCGTCCTACACCCATGGCTGGAGAACTTTGAAGGCAAATAAGGCTTTCACGAGGCTTTCTGTCCCATGAAAGTGCTCAATGTTGGTGTTTTTTTCTATCTCTCTCGATCTTTTTGTTCCCTTTGATGTGGAGATCATTCAAGAGGTGCAGGCCACATGTTCGGCAGTCATTTGTGTCATGTTTCTATAATAGTGGTATACTTATAATTTTTTGTGATTTTTGTTTTGCGTGTTGGAAGATTGACAGTTTCTTCTTTTTTTTTCTTTCACTTATTTATGCTTTTTTCTGTTCTGTTTCCTAAAGGAGGATAGGGCGTGAGGCTGCAGAGAGCAAACGCTGTGATTGACATGAGCAGAGAGCTGAAAAAAATCAGTCGAGGCTGAGTCTTTCTGTAGGTAGGCGGATGAGTGGGGCGAACCAATCCTCAGCAGAGCTTGTTTTTAATTGCCGTCTGGTAAACATCAAACGTGAAAAAAACAGACGATTCCATCTAAAGATACTGGGTGTTTTGGAAAGTACGTTACGCTGTGTGATTTCATCTTTTGCTTTATGCTGAACAACATATCGAGAGTTGTTATATTCCTGAGATTCTCACTGTCTCAGGTCATTAAATAGTTTGCTTTGTTGTCAGAACTGTAAGCAGTGCAGATGCTGAGGAGGAGTTATACTTGAGGGAACGATTGAATGTTTTAATGCTTTGCTTTGTGCTAAATGTTGTTTTTTTTTAATTAAAGTTCAGTCAAAGATGAAAATTCTGCCATTAATTAGCTATACTCATCCTCATGCCATTCCAAAGGCGTACATTATATGTCCTGTGGAGCACAAAAGGAGACAAATGACTCTTTTGCATAAAATGCAGTTCAAACTGATTGTGGTCCACAAATATATCAAATAAAATATCCATCCACTCTTAGAAGAAAAGGTTCTATATAGAACCTTAAAAGGTTCTAAATTGATACGTATTTTGAACCCCTAAAATTCAATGCATGTGATCACAAAATTCAAGATATGGGGGTTAAAAAATGTAATGAATCAATATCACACGAAGAGTGCCATTTCAGTTTTTATCCTTCAAAAATCAGCATGATTAAAAATGGGATATTAAGTTAATAAACAATAATTTAATTACAACTGAAAAATGTTGCAGAATAATGTAATATATGGATTAATAAATAACCTTTGTGCCAAAAGGGTTCTTTCTTGTCATTATCATCATTTTGTTTTTTGTTTTTTGTTTTTTGCATAAAAGGTCCTTTGCAGTTGAGTAAAGAACCCTATGCTTCATATATAGAACCCTTTTTTCTAAGAGTGTACTTTTGGTCATACATGGTCTATTCCTCACACAAAACTATTCTATGGCTTCAATATGACTTGTAATATGATGCAAAAATCATATGGCTCTACTTTTAAGGTGTCTTTTTTGTCAGTTTTGAAGCTTAGCAGCTGTGTTTACCAACAGTCATGAAAAATATTTTTAATGATCATATTTTGCATATCTTGTTCCAAGAAGAATGTTTGTAGTAAAATGATTAATTATGGCAGACTGCATTTTTGGTCATTTAAAAAGTTTAGGATTGTTTAAGATTTTTAAATGTTTTTGAAAGAAGCCTCTAATGTTCACCAAGGCTGCATTTGATCAAAAATTTAATGTGAAAATTGTACAATATTATTTATATAACACTTTTCTGTTAGCAATTTATTCCTGTAATTTCAAAGCATGCACATTTTCAGCATCATTATTCCAGTGTCACATAATCTTTCAGAAATCATTCTAATATGCTGATTTGGTGCTCCAAAAATATTTCATATCAATGTTGAGAACCGTTGCTTAATATTTGTTGTGGAAACTGCAACCTTTTTTCTGGATTCTCTGATGAGAAAATTCAAATAACATTTGAAATAGAAATCTTTCGTTTAACTTTATAAACATCTTTTACTGTCACTTTTGATCAATTTAATGCATCCTTGCTGAATAAAAGCATTAATTTCTTTAGAAAAAAAATCTTACTGACAGTACACACTCAAAAAAAAAAGATATGTTGGCTTTAATTAACTTTTTTATGTTAACAGGTTCTGGGTTACATTAAACAAATATAATTTGTTTGTAACTTCAACATAATGGAATTAAGTAATTTAAGTGATGAACACTGAAGCAGTGTTAAAGTTAATGAGATAATTAAATGCATAATTGATGGATGATCATTATTGAAGAGACCAGATTGTAACTTACTGGAATGTGTAAGTCATCATTATGGTGATCAGTGTGTGTTTTGGGCTTGTCTTGACCCTCACATCATTAACTTTAGATTTTGTTTGGCTGTTGTATATGAGTTATATCAGCCAGATGAACAAATAGAAAAGGTGATCTGATGGTGTTGGTTATGTTTAACATAATCGTTATTTCACAATCATTTTACCTGAATCATTGAACTCATATATAACGCAATTTCTGAGTGAAGTTTAATTTATGTATTATAGCAGCACTGTCATTGTAGCACATACCATTTTTAGCCTTTTCAATGAAATCAAAATGATCAAATCATTAAAAATGAAGGACAATTACTCACATTATTATGTCATCAACTTAACACTGCTTCAGTGTTCATACACAGCTTCATTGGATTAACGTAACCCAGTTATGTGGAACCTGTTGACATAAAAAAAAGTGAATTTATGGAACCTGTTAACATAAAAAAGTTAATTAAAGCCAACATATAATTTTTTGAGTGCATATTATACAGTACGTTTCTTTTAATCTCTTTTAATTTCTGTTTTTAAGATTGTGGCCCATGTATACCCAAGCATTTTTCATTTACAATGTGTGTCAAAAACACTGATTTTTGCCTCACATCACATTATGATCCAAACAACTCTGGTTGGAGTGATGTCAGGACTGCATGACCCTCGATTAATCCATTTATTTTCAATTCTCTATTTAAGGTTGCACATTGATTGGTTGGATCATTCCTCATTAGCCATGCTGTGCAGAAAATGGATGGAAGTGTGGGCGGCAATCACTCTGCTAGTGGTAGAAGCCCCACCCACACAGCCAGGTCCACCAGGGGCCCAGAGATGTGATTACAGTTCATTAACGTGGTGTGTGTACAGGGGGTGGGAAGGACACTGGTCATTATTGTGTTCGAATGTAGGTGGTGCCCTGAAACGCACAGGAAGGCGTGGGCAGCACACACACCCGTGCTGCAGCCCTTAAGTCCTTTGTGAGGAATATTGGATGCAGAGTTTGACTCTAGGAAGTTGGCAGTGCATAATTACTTGGACGCAAACAGACAGACATTTGTGTTTGGTGCAGTGGCACTTTGCATTTGACAGGGCTATTTGGGGGGCTAGCTCATATTCTAAATTCAGCCAACAGTATTTAAGCACCTATAAATTAACCACAGGTGTAATTCACAAGTCATTGAGTTCCTACATGATGGGAGATGTTTGTTTTTTATTTAATTTTCAACCCCGTATCCTGACCCTCTGTCTAAAATGATCTGTTTCTGACGGCCGGCTCCTTTAAGGCTTGTCGGTAAACGACCACTATTATGATTGGCTGACGTCATTGCATAGGAAACAGCATCAACGCCCACTCGCTATTGCATGCGAGTAAGTGTTTTGAAAACATTATCCATATAAAACCGTCATTTAAAGAATGAAGTCATTTACTTACGGTTCTGACAGGATTAACGTACGTTACCTCGGTTGAGTGGCCTGACTTCTACACCTACCTTACAGAGAAACCGATCGTAAAGAGAAACTGAGGGCATATAAATCTTTAGATGCCTATAACTATGTGCTGAATGGTCCTGTACAAGACTTGTGTGTACAATCCGCAGTTTCCCCCCCTGTAACAGCATATTGGCAAAAGAGATTTGGTGTTTGCAGTCTTGAGAGTGTCAAAGGTTTCTATTTACTTACAACATGCTTTTGCAGCGTTGAGCAATGTAGCCAATCACAAACATATCTGTTGATTCCTTTACCAACGCATTCAAGACAGTTTCGGGGCAAACTGCAAACTGTTCAAAGGGTTTTAAACGATTCCAGACGATGAATAAGGGTCTTATCAAGCGAAACGATCGCACATTTTAAAAAAAAGTTTTATTTTTGTAAGCTCAAATGGTCGCTTTGCTCTGTTCTATGAAACTCGTTCATCAAAACGAACGAATCTTTTCCCGAGTCAATTTGTTTATTTCGTTTGTTGAATGAACCAAATGACACGAAAAAAGATTCGTTCATTTTGATAAACGAGTTTGAACAGTCACGAACACGAACACGAAACTTTGTTTTTGTTTTTTTTAAACGAGCGATCGTTTCGCTTGATAAGACCCTTATTCATCGTCTGGAATCGTTTAAAGCCCTTTGAACTGTTTGCAGTTTGCACTGAAACTGTCGTTTGGACCTTGAACCGTTTGGTTACCAGTAAAGTCTATTATATGGAGAAAAATCCTGGAATATTTTCATCAAAAACCTTAATTTCTTTTCTACTGAAGAAAGAATGACATGGATATCTTGGATGACATGGGGGTGAGTAAATTATCAGCAAAAGATTTTTAAAAGTGAACTACTCCTTTAAAGTCCCCGTGAACCGGAAGTTGCAAAAGATTTTTCTCCAGTGCTGTGACGTATTTCCAAGTGAAACGGAATATTGAACAGAGGGCAGGGTTTTACTCTAGCGCTCCTCCTCTCCATCTCTCGCTCATAGCAAACTAACGGTTTAAGGGGAGTGGTTAAGCGTTTCCCCACCCAAGTTGTGAAACCTACGTCATCAGAAAAAGAAACCGTTCCAGACCGGAAGTAACTTTTCAGATTTTGATTAAAGATTACGAAGGTAAAACATTTTTTAAATATATTTTTACTTGCACGGATTAATTGTTCACCACAAGACTAGTAATATGCGCTAACAAAGTAAATAGGTTCAATTTTGATTTCACGGGGACTTTAAGACTTCAACAGGAAGCAATGCCTTACAGAATATGGAAGTGTGATGACCATAAGCCCTAGTGTAAAGTATTTAATGAGAATACTGCAAATTAAAGTTTTCATAAAACATACGTTTTGCTTTATGATAATGCAAATTTCATTAAAAATAATGTTACCGTGCAAACATAATAACATTATTAAAGAAATTTGCACTTTAGTGATTTTTTTTTTCCTCTATCTGACAGCGTAAGTAGGTTTATCTACTCCATGCAGTGAAACATATCCATCGTAAAAGCAAAGCTACTTTGATACAGTATGTGACAAGTGTTCCCTTGGGCAAAGCACTCTGGGAGCCATCTGTGTTCAAACTGCAGGGATTACACTGCTCAATCCCCGTAGCAAATAAGGGAATTAGGATGAAATTTAATCATATACCAAATTATAGTCACTGACACGATATTACAGCCCCCCATGAGCTCTGTGTGAATGCAGCTCAAACTGATTGACTTAATCCCATTCCTCAACCTGATTTTGTGATCATAGTATCTCCCTTGCCTGGTATTCAGTCTAATTTCTGTTGGATTTCCCTGTGAGCATTTCACATTCACATTCTTGAGTGTTTATAGTCCTTTCATTGTGACTGTCAGGATGTCACATGCTTCGTTTATTCATTAACTGGCTAGATATGACAGTGTTCTTCTCAAACTTGTGATGCTTTCATGTGATTCCCTGTCTTGGTCAAGAGCGCTGTTGAACTTACTGTTATTGAAAAGTTATTGATCTTCCATTCAGAGCCTGTGTGGCCAGTCATTTAGATACTTTCAGTTCTTTTCTCTCTTTTTTTTCCGAATACTGTGTTTCTCATTGCAAAAGCTATCATGTTCACAATTTATTCTCAAAGTCATATTGAATGAAGAAGTTGCCACTTGTTTCCTGTTCTTCCTAAGTTATTTTCAGATGGCACTTTGCCTCAGTCCCGCCACTTCTGAAACACTTGGTTTTTGCAAACATGCTATTAAATGTAATTTATCATTGTATTAAAAACAGACTCTGTTGACTCTGTTTACCAAGATACTCACAAAGACGGGTATTTTGACACAATTTTATGAGTATTTGTCTTTTGCTGGTGAACAGCCATTTATGTCTTAAAGGGATAGTTCACCCTAATTTGAAAATAGAGAAATGAATTACTCACCCATGGTGTTTTTCTAATGCTGTATGCCCTTGTTTCTTTTATGGACCAAACGAATAATAATAGTGCCCCGCTTGATCACACTCATCCATATACCTGCAGTAATGACAGGGAATATAGCGACCAGCATCAAGCTTTTTAGAAAAGACCCAAAAGTATCACTGAATGGTCCAGTGTTCTGGGGATATACCATATGAAATGTAATGTATTATATAGCGGTGCAGTCTCTCTCAGAAAAGGCACACAAGCTGTGAGAAATCAAATGAAAGTTAACCAAAGCGCTGTTGTCCTGTAAACGAGAGGCCGAAACACATAAAAAGTTTTATATTTTTAGTTAAAACCGGAGCGTGTAAACAGCCCCTAAATCGAATGTGTAGCCTATCATTATATTAGGTCTTAAAGTGACAACAGCCTAATATACCTTCTGCTGCTTATGTCATTAAAGGTGCAATGTGTGATATTTCTGAGGATCTATTGACAGAAATGCAATTTAAGATCCACAACCATGTGTTCAGTGGTGTATAAACACCTTACTCAATGAACCGTTTTTATTACCTTCTGTGAAGGTCGACATATTGTGACGTCATGTTTCTACAGTAGCTGAACGAGAACAAATGCTACAGAGCATGTTTCGTCACTACCTTGAAAGAGAAGCCGCAGAAAGCTAGAAGCTAGCCGTAGACACCGCGAGTAGTGACTTTTCCCTTGTCAGTAGTGTAAAATATGTAGTTCGATAGTTTCATGTAACTTAGTTCTTCTCCCTCACTGTGTATATGGCTTTGACAATCAGCTGAGATTAGTACTATTGACCATAAAACAGTCTGTTACAGGAGTCACCAACCTGTCGATCGCGGTCGACTAGTCAATCTTGGAAGCATTTTAAGTCGATCGTGAGGAGTTTTCAAAACCAGAGAAAAAAACTATATTTGTATTCATTTATTTATTAATTTGTGTGTAGTAAATGGTGTCAAAGGCGAAAGCGCTGTTAATCATGTCATTTTTGCCGTGCGCACCTTTGGGCTCATGCGGACGCGTCGAGTTTAAACAAGGCTTTACGCTTTAACCAGCTCAGCCACGGTAAGAGCTTATATTAGCCAGCTATGTGGGGAGAAATGTGTTGGTTACGTTTGTGAGACAATCAGCTGATTACTATTTTTATGTTTATATATTAAGACTTCTGCTGTCAAACGATTAAAATATTTAATCGCGATTAATCGCATTAACGTCATAATTAACTCGCGATTAATCGCACATTTTTATCTATTCTAAATGTCTCTAATGATTTCTTTTTGTCCCATTATTTTTTTTCTAATTTTAATGCTCTTATCAACATGGAAAATGAATGCTTTGTGCAAATGTTTTTTATTGACAACAACGTTGGCATATACTATGTTCAATTTCACAATAAAAAATTCTCACTTGGAGCAAATAATCTCTCACACAATGTAACACTGTCCATCAATAAAAGGGTGAAAGAAATACTGACGAGGTCCTGATATTGACGAGGGGGCGGAGAATTTGCATTAGCTGTGTGTGTGTGTGTTTGGCCATCATCAAGTGGTATTTCAGACTGGACTTGCTGCGATGATGATGAGTTCAAAACAACAAAACACACAGATCACTTTGGTCTTGTCAGTGGGACCATTTTGGCAACTTTTTAAAAGTAAACTTTCCATTCAGAATCTTATTGGCATGCATTTCGGCGTCTCGCACTCGTCATCCACTCAAAACGTAACGTTAATCTACTCTTTGGCCGGCTTGCAAGCCAAAACGACAAACGAATGTGTGCGGCGGGACTGTTGTTTTGCTTACGGTCTAGCTAGATCCGCTTTCGCTTTGGTCGGCGAAGCAACAAAACGTCCTCGCGCGGCGCAAGCCATTGAAATGAATGGGTTTCACAGCGTAGCGCCCCCATGCCACGTCCTGTTGCAAAAGCATGTGAAAGAAAACTACAAGGTTTGCAAGGCCAAAAAGACTGTTAATCGCTTGATAAAAAAATTAACGCTGTTAAAATGGGTTTGCGTTAACAACGCTAATAATGCGTTTAACTGACAGCCCTAATTAAGACCCTTGATCCTCACCTGACTATGGCTTTGTAAACTTTATCCATGATGTGGTTCATAATGGACTGTGGTACAGAAACAGTGACAATGTTACACACTCTTGGCTTACTCTGGCTATTCTGCTCTCTCAGACGACGATATGTTTGTTTACATTTTAAATTTACATTTAATCATTTAGCTGACGCTTTTATCCAAAGCAACTTACAATTGCTATATATGTCAGAGGTCGCATGCCTCTGGAGCAACTAGGGGTTAAGTGTCTTGCTCAGGGACACATTGGTGTCACGCAGTGGATAAGAATCACTACACCAATGGTTTGTCCCGTTTCAGCCACCGTAGCTTCTTCGAAAGGGAGGGGTGAGCAGTGGGCTTAGCCCTTAGTGCAAACTTGCAAACAAACTAGATGTCGCTAAAATCTACACACTGCACCTTTAATGTTAAACAAAAGACAAAGTGAAAATAGTTGGATGTTTTATTGCAGGGATTTGGCCATTAAAAAAAAAAAAAAAACACCAATTGTCATACACGTTTGTGTGGCCTATTGCTTTCATTGACAGGCCCGTAGTGAAATCGCAAAACTCTTAAAATGATTTAGCAAATACTTCACTTGTTGAGGCACTTCAAGGGTTGATGCCAGACATCTGTTCACAGTCTCTCTTCTTCTTTGCTCTTCATATGTCAATGATTCTCCAGTGTATACAACTGTGTATATGAATGTGTGGCACTCCGGGGTCACAGCACTCTCTCCACGTCCCACGCCAAGCTTGTTTTTTTAGAATTCTCCTTTCAGTTCCCTTCTCACATAGAGATACGCCTATTCATGAACAAACACACACAATAAACATTTACTCTCTTACACAGGAAGTTTGTAGTCTATTTACACTGTCATTGGTCATGAGGGGACATGCTCAAAAAATCCACAAAACGTTCCAGGATATTTGAGGGGACTTTAACACAAATCTCAGATCCTCAGTTTAATTTAGTTTTCAGATTTCCCTTTCAATTAACACATGATCATTGTTAGCATATTACTTTCATTGACTTTCTTTCATTCTTTTATATTTTGATGTTCAAGAGAAAGCTCTAAAATAAACTTTTAAACTATTTTTGGATAAACTACATTACCGTTAAAGTTTGGGTATGGGTTTTTAATGTTTTTGAAATGAGTCTCTTATGCTCATTAAAGGAGTAGTTCACTTTTGAAAAAAAAAACTTTTGCTGATAATTTACTCACCCCATGTCATCCAAGATGTCCATGTCATTCTTTCTTCAATCGAAAAGAAATTAAGGTTTTTCATGAAAACATTCCAGGATTTTTCTCCATATAATGGACTTCAATGGGAACCAAAAGGTTCAAGGTCCAAAAGAGAGTTTCAGTGCAGCTTCAAAGGGCTTTAAATGACACCAGACGATGAATAAGGGTCTTATCAAGAGAAACGATCGGACATTTATAAAATAAATAAAAAAGTTTTATAAGCACATTATGCTCGCCTTGCTCTGTTCAGTGATGAGCGATCGTGACTCTCCTGTTCGAACTCTGTTTGAACAAATCTTTTTTCGAGTCATGACTCGAAGGGTCCTAGATAAGACCCTTATTCATCGTCTGGTGTCGTTTAAAGCCCTTTGAAGCTGCACTGAAACTCTCATTTGCACCTTGAACCGTTTGGTTCCCAATGAATTGCATTATATGGAGAATAATGCTGGAATGTTTTCATCAAAAACCTTAATTTCTTTTCGACTGAAGAAAGAATGACATGGATATCTTGGATGACATGGGGGTATGACATTATCAGCAAAAGTTTTTTTTTTTTTTAAAGTGAACTACTCCTTTAAGGCTGCATTTATTTGGAAAACAATCAGTAAACCAGAAATATTGTGAAATATTATTTCAATTAAAAAAGCTGTTTTCTATTTTAATATATTACAATAAATTGTGATTTATTCCTGTGATGGCAACGCTGAATTTTCAGCATCCTTCAGTCACATGATCCTTCAGAAATCATGCTAATATGCTGATTTGGTGCTGAAGAATAATTTATTATCAATGTTGAAAACAGTTGTGCTTCTTGAACTGCACTTATTTAAAAAATAATAATAATTTGTAGTAGCTACAGATTTTCTAGATTTTCTACAGATTGCCAAATATAGATTTTCTAATAATGTATTGGGTGTTTTCTATTAACTATTGTAACCAATAACCAACCCCTGAACACCATGTAAAAACAAAACGACCTGTAATTGGCAACCTTTCATGTCAGTCAAACAGGCCTATCTTGTTTAAGAGGTTTTTGATTATAGCATAAGTTATAAAATGGACCAAACTGCTGACAGTCAAAAGTCTGGCTATTTGAATCTTCAATATGTAATCATATAAAGTCCGTGGCAGCAGAGGGCTCAGCCAAGCGTCAGAAGTTTATCACAGAAACTAATTTTCACCAAAGTGAGCGATGACCTCTGACTCCACACTGGAGCCATGGGAAAGTTAGCTGGGAAATCTTAGACAGACACACAGCCAGACGCTTCCAAGTCCCAGTCCCTATCTTAGAATGCCAGATACCCCCCACCCACACCAAAACACACCCAAGCGCTAGAAATCAGCCTACGCTTGCACACACATGCTCTCTCGCAGATATATTCACACAAAAACACAGATGTGCGCAGCTCACCCACCCACACACACTCCCAAACTCTCGAACACACTAAACATAAATACCTGCCCACACTTGCACGCGTTTACGAAGATACCCAAAGACACAAAGTTCGTTCGAATGAATTTCCACGTTCAGCTACTTCCCTGCATGCATGCATCTAGTCCTTGCATCGCCCTCTCACGCATACATAAATTCACACACTCTCTGCCTCCTTCACACACATAGTTAAAAAAAAGGTGAAATTCTGGTTGTCTTTGTTCGTGGACGTTCTCTCTCTCTCTTATCCTCTTCTTCTCGTATGCACCCTAACAAGTGCAGAACTCCGTGTTTATATGTGTGTGTGTGTGTGTGTGTGTGTGTGTGTGTGTGTGTGTGTGAGAGAGTGTGGGCGTCGTGGTGTGGAGAGGGAGGTCTTAGATGCTGAATAACAGTAGTGTGTCTCTGGCAGCTGTGTGTGAGAGCCGTGTGGGCGTCCTCAGCCATGAGACTGTCGGGCTCAGACCGGGCCTTGTGGCTTGTAGCCACCACACTAATTGGGTAGAGTTGAAGTATATGCTCTCCACAGCCTGAAATACACCGGCAGTAAAAGTCTGGAGTACCCACAATGCTCGTTTCACACAGTGTCTCGTGTTACAGGGGATTCAAAGTTGTATAGATTTTTGCATTTTGATGTGAATTTGGCCTTACAGGTATAACGAAATTTGATTTGAACAATTCAAACTCCTCAGTGGAATGATTTGATGCATATTTCAGTCTCACAAAAAGATTTCTCCTATGATTGAATCAGAACACAGCTCTGTCGCAGTCATAAGTAGATAAAAAGATTTGAATGAGAATGAAGCAATAAGCAAAGAGAGGCCGTGAGGGATATTCTTAGGCGCAGAGCAGTGTGAAGCACAGCAACAGAAATATGAAAAATGCACCAATGTTCAATAAATAGTTACAGTTATTGATGATCAAAATTGAAATAAATAATTCTTAAAGGAGTAGTTCACTTTAAAAAAAAACTTTTGCTGATAATTTACTCACCCCCATGTCATCCAAGATGTCCACGTCTTTCTTTCTTCAGTCGAAACGAAATTAAGGTTTTTGATGAAAACATTGCAGGATTTTCTCCATATAATGGACTTCATTGGGAACCAAACAGTTCAAGGTCCAAATGAGAGTTTCAGTGCAGCTTCAAAGGGCGTTAAATGACACCAGACGATGAATGAGGTCTTATCTGGGACCCTTCGAGTCATCACTTGAAAGAAGATTTGTTCATTTTGATGAACGAGTTCGAACAGGAGAGTCACGAACGCGCATCACAGAACAGAGCAAGGCGAGCATTTGAGCTTATAAAACTTAAACTTTTTTATTTATTTTTGAAATGAGCGATCGTTTCGCTAGATAAGACCCTTATTCATCGTCTGGAATCGTTTAAAGCCCTTTGAAGCTGCACTGACGCTCACATTTTGACCTTGAACCGTTTGGTTCCCATTGAAGTCCATTATATGGAGAAAATCCTGGAATGTTTTCATCAAAAACCTTAATTTCTTTTCGACTGAAGAAAGAATGACATGGATATCTTGGATGGGGGTGAGTAAATTATCAGCAAAAGTTTTTTTTAAAAGTGAACTACTCCTTTAAACAAGCCAACAAAGTTCATTGGCCTCCTTAGTCCAGCTTAAGTTGGTTTGCTGGTCTGTTGGCTGGTTTTAAAGATGCAACGGTTTATTAAATTGTGCACATGGGGTACTTTTTATTCTTGAGTGCACCAAACTCATCTAGTTTGTTTGCTGCCAAAAAGCTTTTTTGTTTGTTTCATCTGACCACAGAACCCTGTGCCGTTTGAAGATACAGTCGTGTCTGACCACTGAATATGCTGGAGTTTGTTTTTGGTTGAGCGAGTAGGATTTTTCTTGAAACCATCCCAAACAACATGCGGGGATTTAGGGGTTGTTTGATTCTTTTTTCTTTTTTTTTTCTGACCCTAAGATTCAACTAATCTCTGCAATTCTCCATCTATAATGCTTGAAGAGTGTTTGGCCACTCAAACTTTCCTTCTCGCCGTGCATTAAGACAACATAGACACAACTATATTGTCCTGGCAGATTCGTAACATCTTTAGTTTATTGGAGCTTCTTAATTTTGGCCCTGATTGTCAAAATGCCACTTTCAGTTTTGTGATGTTCAACAATCTTTCGCTGCACATCAGAACTATATTCTTTGGTTTTACTCATTGTGATGAATGATTAAAGGGTCATGGGATACTTCAGGATTTAGCTTTGTGTTAGTAGAAAACCTGGAGTATTTTCACATTACCTTGCTTTCCACCCTCATATACCCCTGAAATGAGAGATTTATTTATTTATTGTCTGGAAAAAATCCTCAGATGACGCAAAAATCGTCATTTTGTGTCATCAGAGGATTTTTTGGCTAGAGGCTAAAGACTACAGTCAGTAGTAGGGTCTGTCCCGCATGTTCTCAACCCGCCCATATAGGGTGGGATCTCACTCACAGAATGTACACATAGTGTCAGCCATCCTTTTTTTGGAAGCTTAGCTAGCAGGCTCTTGTTCTGTGGAGAAAGCTGAGTAGTATTGGCTTTTGCTTTCTGCAGTCGCCATTCATTGTTTACATGCACACCTTTTGTTTCAATCTAACTGAATTCATTCTGATTGGTGAATATGAATGTAGTGTTTAAACATGAACGCTAAACAAGTGACCGGTTGATGTGCGTTTTAACATTGCTAAGAAAATTCCTGCTTCTCCGGGAGAGATACGAGACCGGTGCGTCTCACAGGTGTCGCTCATCGGTAATCACGCCACCGGCTTCGCGCTGTTCTCACGTGGCCCTCACTCGTTCCGCTCGCCACAGTAAACATGATGAATGGCGACTGTCGAACGCAAAAGCCGAATCCCAGACATTTTGGGTGATCTCGAAACACATTTTCAGGCAGACTCACCGTAGAGACTCACTAGTAGCCTAGACTTGTTGTTTAACTACTACGCTCTGTTACCGGTAGGCGTGGCCTCATAGGGCAGCGAAGCAAGTGCATTCAGAGTTGTTGTCGTTCATCCACATAAGCCAAAAATACATTTTCTGGCTTTTCTTAGTCTAGAAAGCTCCAAATTCAAAAATAGTTTCACATTTCTTCTGTCATAAATGACCCATTTTAAACACATTCATTTTTCCAGAGGTGAAGTATCCCTTTAAGGATATTTGACCTTTGTGTTTCCTCATATTTAAACTCCTTTGAAATATAAGTCATGGCTGGACAATAATAAGTCAATAAGTCATGGCTGGACAATTTCATGTTCCTAGTCACCCTGGTGTGCTAAAAAAAAGCAGACTTCAGAGATATTTTACTCGTAAATAATCTAGGGGTGCCAATAATCGTGGCCAACGTGTTTTGGAGAAAAAACATTTATTTCATAATGTGATTTCCCCCCACTTTCAAGTCTTTTACTGCAATGTAAGGTTAGATTTTTGCATATTTTTTGAAAGATCAAAAGTATTAACAATCCAGATATATATTTTTTACAGACATTTTTGATCATATTTAATTGCCATTAATTCTGACTACAACAGTATGTCAACAAAATTACATGCGGCAAATGTAGCTCAAACAGTCGAGCATGGCACTAGCAACGTCAAGGTCATGGGGTTCGATTTCAAGGGAATGCATGAACTGATAAAATGTACCTTGAATTCAATGTGAGTTACTTTGGATAATAGTTTCAATCAAATGAATAAATGTTATTCTGTCAACCACAGATTTTCTGAATAGACAATGAAATTATGTAATAAAATATCAACAATTGTTTATGTTGAAGAAAATACTTGCATTCATATCATTCAAAAGTTTTTAATGATTTTGAAAGAAGTCTTTCCTGCTCTCAAGGCTGCATTAATTAACAAAAAATACAGTAAATACAGTAATATTGTGAAATTTTATTGCAATTTATATAATGTTTATATATATATATATATATATATATATATGAAGAGTTCAGATGCAAAAGCCTCTAAATGCCATTTGAAATTCTAGAATGAAGCTTGTATATTTGTATATTTAAGTTCAGTGATTTCACTTAAATGGCAATGATAATTACCTATTAATTGTTATTTAAGTGAAATTACTGAACTTAAATATACAAGTTTGATAAAAATCATCATTAAAGAAGAAAATTTCAAATGGCATTTAGAGGCTTTTGCATCTGAACTCTTTATATATATATATATATATATATATATATATATATATATATATGTATATATATATATGTATATGTATGAATATATTTAATTTATTCCTGTGATGGCAAGTTTAATTTTCAGCATCATTACTCCAGTCTTCAGTGTCACATGATCCTCCAACCCGATCTCACGACCAAGTCGTACGAATTCGACGAATGATTAAAAAGTGGCTAATTCGTAACAATTCATACGACCTCACTCGTACGAATTAATACGATTTTGCTAAATCGTACATATTTTACGAATTGGCCAATTCGTATGAATTCGCACGAATGACCTACCCCTTACCCCGCCCCTAAACCTAACCGTCACGTGGGTTTAGACAAATCGTACGAATTAGTACGAGTGAGGTCGTACGAATTAGTACGAATTAGCCACTTTTTAATCATGCGTCGAATTCGTACGAATTGGTCGTGAGATAGTGTTGGATCCTCCAGAAATCACTTGAAAACATATCTTATTATGATCATTGTTGAAAACAGTCGTGCTGTTTACATTTTTTCAGGATTCTTTGATGAATAGACAGCCCATTCTCACTCCCAAGGCGTCACCTAACTGACGCCTTGGGAAGCATTTGACCATGCGTCAATATCTGACGCTTTAGGCGCCCTTTAGCGTCAGTTAGATGACGCCGTAGGATCGCGTCATGTAAGTGACGCTAAAGGGCGCCTAAAACGTCAAATATTGAAGCATGGTCAAAGATGACGCCTTGGGGTGAGAATGTGTTGGAATAGAAATTAGAAATAGATGTCTTAGTCGCTTTTGTCATATCAATTCAGTGCATCCTTGCTGAATAAAAGTATTAATTCTAAAAAGAAGTAATAAAATCTCACTAACCCCAGACTTTTTAACAGTATTGTACAAATATGTAAATTCTGTTGTAACAATATGCTCATCCTCGGTCATTATAGATGGATGATCTGATCGAGATCAATGCGATTTCTCTGGTTTTGTGCGATTTTATTTCGGCTAATGAAAACGAATTTGTGCACATGCAGTGTTTAAATTGTAGTTCTGTGTGTCAGCATTACATTGCAATGAGATGAGACATTGCAATAAGTGAATGACACTCGTTGAAACAATATGTCA